TCCATGCCCCGTACGAAGCACCGCATCGGATGAAGAGCAACGAGCGCCGTAGCTGTCACGAAGTAGCTGTCACCCGCCTGGTCATCTGTGGCGCCAGAATCATAGACCTGAAACGGATGGTCAAAGACAACCACAATGGGTGAATACTTTAATGAGGAGATCCTTGTGCTCACGCTTGCTGAAATATAAATAGATAATCTAGATAGTGTATAATACAGTATACAAGTATATACACATGCTGTATACATATGCGGTAGACTTAAACATCTTTGTCATACTTTGTTCTGGTGTCGTTCTTACTACTTATTGTGTGTCACCGGCCCAAAGCCCCCATGGCTGGTAAGGACAGCAGCTGCAAACCTTGCGGTCTTTCGGCCACAAGTACTCAACAAGCAGGTTGTTCTAGAACTTGTGATCCTGTGTCTTCGGGAACATTCGTTCAAAACCAACTCCAGGCCCTTTTCTTACGGGGCTTTGGAAAAGTGTCTTCGACGACGTTTCACGGCCTTCCACCTCAAAGCCCCGCATCTAAATTCGACTTGAAGAACTTAAGTTGGCTCAAGTGTCGATGCTTCAACGCCCATCTATAGTATAACCAAGTGGGTTTCGGCCCAAATGGTGCGTCATCGTTGGTGCGTCAGGTCCAGGTCTAGCTACAATCGCCGTGTGCGCTGTGCGGCGCGACAATCCGAAAAGGGCAGCTACAATAGCTTCTCCAAAGCCCCCAAATTGGCTGCCACATATATATATATATAGATAGATAGATAGATATGTGTGCCTTCTTTCTCCCACAGCCTGGTCAAAGCTAAAGGTTCGCGACTCGAAGCCACCTCGTCCTGGGCCGAAGGAAAAAAACCCGGGACCTGAAGAGAGAAGAGCCTGTATCGGGACGGGTGATCCTCTTTGGTGGAAGCAAATCTTGTGGCATTCGTTGACTCAGCAAATCTTGTGCAATTTGTTGACTCAGCTCCCGTTCTTTCCTGGAAAGCCACAGAAAGCACGGGCAAACCATGGTAAACCCTTTTGGTGTCCTTTCCTACATTCACACAAGGTGTCCTATTTCACCAACAAGGAATTGGAATGCGATGGAACAGTCAAAAGGGATGTTGTACAACCATCAATTCTTCTGAAGCTTCTTAGAATGGCTGAGAACATCGGGGTGTTGTGACAATTGCAAAGAGAGCAGCTGGGTATCAAAGCAAATGCTGTAAAACACCAGCGTCCAGGGTGCAAACACGTGTTTGTCTCAGTGTCTGGGCACACTCGGTGGGGTTGAGCCACTGGTACCCAACCCCATGTTAGCTACAATTCACTCATGAATTTGCAATATTGTCATTTCTTGTGGGTCTACCACCATGACTCTGTGCTCAGCGCCATGACTTATCAAACGTGTCTAGTTCTGGATCTCATGTATGCAACCAACCCAAGCCTTGCCTGGTGGCAAGCCCGGCCTGGCCGATGGTCCAACAAAGAACCAACAACAGGTGGGGTCATAACAAGCAGGTGCTGTGGAAGTGATGGATCTTCAAGAACTGTCAGCGATGAGTGTACAAATGACCTAAATCTCAGATCTTCTGTTTCCCATCAGTGGGTGAGTGTGGACCTTGTAACAAGTAGCTTTCCAGTTTAAAGCTCCTTTGGAGACTTGAGACACATCTCACTTGGCCAGTCACACGTGTGGTGTCCAGCGTCGTTATAAACATCTTTCATATGGTAGGCTCAGAATCCTTGACTTAAATAATTAAACATAAAAATCAAAAATGTCAAATTGAAAAAGACCATCAAAAAAGTCAAAACAACAAAAACAAATTGAACAGAAGCAAACCAAAAAAGTCAAACATAGACCACAGCCCGAAAATTAAAAAAACAAAACAAAATTAAAAGTCGGAAAACACAAAGTCAAACAAAGTCGGAAAAAAGTCAAAATCAAAAAACAACTCAAAAAAGATCGAAAACTAAAGGTCAAACACAAAAGTCAAAAAAAACTGCCGAAAAAAAGTCAATAAAAAGTCGGATCTGTGCAAATTGACTTTGTTTTGACTTTCTGAAACTTTCTGATTTGACTGTTCTTTGGACTTTGACTCTTGGGATTGACTTTTTTGGACATGTTTTAAAAATAACATGGAAAACAGGCTCTCTCCAATGAAAGATTTTTATAGTAAGTGTAGCGGGTCAGTGCTGTGTCTCAGTGCAGCATGAGCTTTGTTACAGGACGTTACAGGAATCCAAAGTCGCATCACCCTTTTGCTTTTTACGGAAGGCTGGCTTTGAGAGCAGGTGCCGACCCCAACCCCCTCGCGTTTGCCATGCCAGGAGGACTCGAACAAACCCCGGGAACTCAGATGAAGCATCCCAGCTGACCTCAGAGAGGCGGATGGTCCCAGCCCAATCGAAGCCAACGAGAGCCACGAGACTCCGTTGATCAACCGGTCTTTTGTCCAGACTGGTCAGTATGGTCAGTGGCTGTTCTCGGATAACGACGACCATGTTTCCACCTTCGCCTGGGGGAAATCCCGTCAAACACGGGGCGAGACATGGCACCTCCACCTGTCCTCCTGAGTCCTGGGTCCTCGGCAATTGGATGCTTGGAGCAAAATGGTTACTGGCTCCCCTGGTGATGTGCTAATTAAACAGACCAAACCAACTGTCTTGTTCTTTGACCAATCTTTGCCAGGCGTTTCAGGAGCAACTCAACCACTATACTCTAGTATACTTACGATAATTCATTAGCAAATCGGAGGCCTCCATCCAATAGCATTCCCAAAGAATGCATGCAGTCCACTTCTATATCATTTACCAGCTATGTATGTGAGTGCATCATGGCAGAGCCTGCATGTCTTCTGAGGGTACGTATTGTTTTTTGTTGATGGTCTCAAGTCTCAGTCCCAACATGTCCTGAACATCCTCAGTTCCAAGTCTGCTGCTGGCGCCACGAGTCCAAGACGACTCAGTCGACGAGTCAGAGGCATGCAACGAGGCATGGCATACAGGGGAGCAGAACACCAAAACAAACGCCAAATAGCCTTCTCCGGTCTTTTCGCTGGGAAAAGGCTCTCATATGCCCTCATCAGATCCAACCGGACACCCTAAACTGCTCGTCATGAAAAATCCGTATCATGTGAACAAATGGATGAACATGGATGAACATTGTAAAACCATGTAAAACCATCCATATTGGAGATCTTAGAAGAAGAAATTCTGCTAGGGCTTTGAATCGCAGAATCAAGCGTCAACACTAGGTCTGCCGTCCCGACCCGACCCCCCATCCCAACTGGTGTGCCGGGCTTGCAGCCAACATGGGGCAGGCCACCTAAGCAAGCGCTCTGGCGTTGTGTTTCGGGTGAAAGGCTCCCACATCACTCAAAAGAGCTTTGGAGGAATTATAGAGAGCCAAATCAGCTTGTCCATCAGCACATTTGGCTCTCTATAATTAATGGACAAACTGATTAATGGATGTTTTCATTCATCAGCACCAAATCGGCTCCTGGATCGGCCATCCCCGCGTCGCATGCGTCGATCCTTCGTCGCGTCGATCCCATGCGTTGAGCGGGGGGGCCGATCCAACAAGCTTAGGTCATGTGAGTCAGCACTCCCAGGATGAGTGTCAGGGTCGTTTCTCATGCCAGTTTTGCTTCTTCGCGCAGTAAAAGAGGTGTTATATGTTTCTATAGTTTCCGTGCTGCAAGCTAAAGATTGAAGAGATGTGTGACCAAATGCACACCAACCTTTCTCCTCGCCAAAAAAGAAGACATGACTCCATGAATGAATGGACAAATGGACGGCAAATTGATGGAGTGGAGGGATGATGAGGGATGGACCATGGATGATCGAGACTGGCTCGATGGAGAAGAACAACGCTGATTCTATGTACTTTAGCTAGAACCTGAGCCTGGTTGACCCTGGTTTGGAGCACCAACAAAACCAATTGGTTTTGTTTTCATCTTAAAAGCAGGGGGTCCAATAGGTATGTACATTCTAGTAGGAGCTCTGTTTTTTTTGCCAAGTTTGCCTCAGGTACACTCACCGCTCTCATGTCCTCCATGTCCTCACAAGTGGCAGCCATGCAGTGGTCTGCCATGCACGATCTGACACTGCGGACAGTGTTGATCCCCCTCCAAACACTCCACGAGTGTTGAAGCCCCTCGGTCCACAAGTGGACCGAAGCCTGGCTAAAGACATCCTGACCGAATTGGCATCTCAAATACATCCTTATCTTCCATCGTTAAGGCCTAACAATACTTTATACAAGAGAATATGATGGAACAACTCTGAATCCTGCTACAAAACATTTACCAGCACAACGACCCGATGTTGTCTTCACTGGTCGCCAGGTCCAGTGCCCTGCATTCTTGGCGGGTCCGAGTGGTTTCATCATCGGTGTGGGAAAACATGGGAAAACGACTATGACTAAGACATTCGATGTGGAGGAAAGACCATGTTCATTGCCATAGTGAGTTTTGCCTCAATCTCAATTCGCAGAACAGAACAAAGGTAGAACCGTTGGCTGGCGAGTTTTGCCATAATTCGACCTCACTCCTTCACTCCTGTGATCAGCTTCCCTCCGTATATACGTCAATAGGTTTGCATCATAATGATACATGTAGAGAGGAATAATCGATACATCTCCAACCAACATAATGGAATTGGTGTGCGAAACAAGCTGCTGCCATGGTATACACACCAAACCAACAATGATCAAACACATCTAATTAGTCGACTTAGTCGATCTTGCATAACAAAATCGAAACACACACTCACACACTCACACACTCTGCACAACAAGCATGAAAACAAGCATGCCCCCATGCCACGCACATGTTGCATCGGACCCACCTGGAAGATCTGGAATGGACTTTAGTTGATCCAAATCATAATTCAAAGGTGCGGGTATGGCCACAAGCGCGGCACACAAATGGATGAGGCTTAAACTTCAAATGGATGGTGACAGCACAAGCAGGGTTTGTCAGTCTGCTATCGGTACCATATGGATCCATATGGTACCATATTCTCCAGCCTCATCCAAATCAGTGGAGGAGCAATGACCAAATACAGTGGAGGAGCAATGACTCTCAGCTCCTTGAGCCCTCCATCCTCAGCGACGACCCCTGTTGTGGCCGCTGGTTGAGGCCTTGCTTGGTGTGGCCTTACCCCTTGGAGCTTTCACGGATGTGGTCAGCTTCTCCAGGCGCATCTGACGGGTTGTGGCTTCTTCGAGCAAGGCCTTGATCACAGCCACTTCCTGAGACATCACGGCCACTGCCCCCTTCTTTTCCAGGCGGGGTTGGCTTATCATATATTATATATCAGAGAAACACCGTCTTTTTTGTGGTCATGACGTTCCCAGGCAAGAAGGTATCTTTTGAAACCTTTGGGTGATTGTAGGCATGCTATGGGAGATCGCATCGAGTAGAAGTTTACCACCCTATACCCGCTGTAAGAGAAATATTAAATAATATGTACCATGTAACCACGTATGTACAATGTACCAAACTCCATTACATGATTGATGTATACAGATATGTCCAGTACAAATGGTTCTTTGCTCTTCATCCGGCATCGATAGGAACCGTCTCCCTCTTTGCCGGGGAAAGACCACCGTCCTTGTCGACATCCACATCCATCTCCGCGGTCGACAACCGCATCTTGGGAGGCGTCTGGATCGGTGTCTTCGGAGTCCTGCCGGGCATGGTGCTGTGAAGAACGGTGAGGGCGGTGGCGGATGTACTGAGAAGGGATAGGTGATTCTTGATATGTCCAACATAAGTGCTTTCCCAAGCCACAATAATCATGTTTAATCTGGTGCAAAAAGCCCCAAATACAAGCATGGAAAGCAGTAAGTCTTCGAAAGGACAGGCAGCAGTAAGTCTCACTCAGTAAGTCTTTCGGAAGGATGGTTGTCACTGCAACTTCTTCCCAATAATCATTTAATGCAAGTTTGATCGTACCTCATGCCCAGCATACCTAGTAGCCTTGAGATATTGCAGGCTCTTCGCAGGTGAGAACTCCACTTCGCTGCAAAACCTTGTAACGAATCTGGATGTTTGCTCAAATATATTTAACTATCTAATTTAAATGCTTGTCTTCACGGTCGGAACTTTGGTACTCTGATGATCCATCTTCGCTCCAGCTTACCAACACTTGGTCGGATTGGACGCCTACACCAGTCTGACGATGTCATCATTTGCCACTCTGAGACCACTCTGGACTGGTGGTCTGGTCGGGCAGGACCTGCATTGCATGAAGCGCATCAGTAGTGTCGTCCTCGTCCTCGCAGAGGGGATCTTCTCCTGCTTGCGATCTGGTGTCCTGGCATGTGTGCCCAGCACATGCAAGTCCAAGTCAACATGTGATTAAGTCGATTAAGTTAACTTAACAAGGCCAGCCAGGGTGCAAATATCCATTCTGCCTCCAACAAACGATTGGTGGGTCCAAATCTGCCCAAAGTGACCAAACGAACATCATGCCAATATGCCAATGCAGGATGCTTCCCTTTCGGACCCACACAAATCACGAAAGATTCTGTGATCTGCCATTTTGGGGGCTTTTTCGGCGGGCCGACCAAGCAGCATGGATTGGTTGAGACTGACCGTACGGTCGTCCAAAATGGAGGTCAGCAAAGGCAGACCATCGCCGGGACCGCACATCCAACACAAAGGACCAAAGCCGGTGTGTGAACGCCCACAAACTGCTCATTCATTCGAGGAAACCTCCAGGAGCCTGGAATTCATCTGGATTCAATTCACCCCTTTTAAACCACCCTAACACCCTTGCATCTGAAGAGCATTCCACCGACTCCGCTGTTCACTCTCCCGAGCTTCTCTGCGCGGAGACGGTCGCAGCTCCTGAGGTTCTCCAGCTCCTTCGCCTGGCGCACCTGGGAGACGACGGAGACATCCATCCGACGTGGTCGTTCGGTGCGGCCAGGTCAGGTGCGGCCCGCCCGCTCCAGGGCGGTGCGAGTGGAGTGTTCTGAAAGAGCAGAGATTTCGATGGATGTCCTGAAACCACTGTGTCTCTTTTTGTTTTGATCAAACATGTCAATATTAATATAATTACAGCTAGCAATAACATATAAAGGACACAGCGAAAGTCCGCATGGTCCGCATCAATCGGAAGGCATTATATTCAGTCCAACTGTTGTTTCAAGCTCATTCAGGTATTTGCCCGTGATGGTATGGGGGAAAACCATTCTGGACCCAGTACTGTAAGATGCGAGTACGCCCCTTTCGTTCAATACGCCTAGAAGAACGTGATTCATTGCAGCTTGCTCAGTGAAGACACTGCAGCGAAGTGAGCACCCGTCCCTCACTTCCCCCTTCATACCCCTCTGGGTGCCATATGGGACAGAAATCAATTCAACCGAAACATCCCATTCCCACCATGAAACAACAAATACCAGTTCTCTCCAAAATGCTGTTCTAGACATTCCATGTCAAAGTCCGATTCCCAACCGCTCTTTACCCCTTTGCCATCCACATCCACTATCCACTGCAGTCCTGGCCACTGCTGTTGCAAGGGCAGGATTTGAAGCATGGCCGTGGTGCTCATGCCACTGGAGCACCTTGCCGCCGCTGGTCAAGTTGGAACAGATGTTCAAATGCCGCATGTATCAAAAGTAGAGGAGCAGGGCGGAGTAGGGGAGTGTTCGAAGTTGAAGGTTGTGATCTATGAGAGAAATTACTAGTTTGAAGGGCAAGAACACCTGACGATCATGGGTGAGCATCTGTGCTCAGCACAAAGCTCTCTAGTATAATTCCCAGTCGTATGCGGCTTGGCCAATCGGTTTCAAGGCACACCTTCTAAATATGACTATATATATACCCTATTATATAACTTACCTCACAAGCACCGGCACCGAATACACATTGAAGCCTTCGACTGCTTTTTGGGGACGGAAGAATCGGGCGAGTCACCCAAATGATGATCACCACCTAGCTAGCAAAGGATTGGGGACCTCCGCATATCCTCCTTGGCTCGCTGTTCCATGGGGAATTGGGATACCCACTCCTCAGCACAAGCCAGCTAGCTGCCACTCTTTTGGAGGTGTTCAGGCGCTCGATGAGATGTTGTTCAAAACCCGATGGGCCGCAATCCGGAGTCTCATCCAAAGTGAGGCACTAGTTGGTTTCAATGTCAGGGATGATCAAGTTGGGTTCAAGCACCATGACAGCTTGAAGTGAGTTTCGCGCAAGTCAATCCTCAAACAACCACAGACTTGACTCGACGGAATGTTTCACAATCTCTCCATGCGTGTTCTTTCCACATTGGCAGCACAAAGCTTCAAGCCTTAAGCAAACACCTCTTCTTCCAGGGCACGGTGGTGGATGCACACCAGATTTCTTCCTGGTCGTCACCTGGGAAAAGGGCTTTCTCAGTGCTACTCGGAATCTTGGAGAAGACCACTTAATTGCCAAATCAGAAGCATGGATGCATGATCAAAGACAAAGCATCCATCTCATCTGCCGATGCAACCGTCCCACACAACGAATAACGAGTGCTTGCCGCACAAGAACTTGTTCAACGCAAGCTGCAAAACCTTGGGATACGCTCCCAGAGTGCAGGGGGTTCTGGAGAGAGGGTGACTGATAAGAACTTCATCGGAGTCACCCAAGAAGAGTAGATGGCAATCTGCAGCATTGGCCTCAAAGCCCACGCGCGAGGACCGCGAGGACATGGTCAAGAATATGCTATGAATACCATCTTGGAGCACATTGCCGACAATAACCAACACTTGTGGTGGGCCCTCAGCAGCAAGCATATTGAATGGTACTTCCTGTGTTTTATCCTCTGGCCCTACAAATTGTTCCAATCTATGATCCATTTGCCTGTACTTCATACATGCATATGATAATATGTGCAGACTGATACTCAAGACCTATGTACAAAAATCAAACAAAGAGCATTTAGAAAAAACGACATGATTGCCCCCAAAAGCATCTAAAAACATCCAAAAGCTGTTGGAAAACTTGGGTGGGATCATAAACTCTTAGAATTCACCCCAAGGCTCGGCTGGATCCTGAAAGGTGAATCCTTTTACCGTCTCAGGAATCTGGACCTGGATGTCTCGTCCCCGAAATCTCGGCGATCTCATCCGGATCCAAGAAATCCCACGGATCAGATAGATGTGATATGATGTGATCCCTCCACCCCTTAAGAGGCCCACAAGAGGGGATTATTAAGAATCCCATCCCAAGGGCCTTCTCGGGCCTTCTCTCTCCACATCCCATCACCCATCCCACCTTGATCCACCCTGTCTGTGGGATCAATGGACAAAAATAGAGTTGCAGACTGAACAATCACCCATCAAACACCCATCTCGCCACCTCATCACTCCACATCTTCTCGTCTCCACACCTTCATCTGTCCGATGTCGATTCGCTGCAGCACCGCAGGCCACCTGATGGCCCGCAGCCGGCCTAGCGCGTCGCGCCGCCAGCGGGGCGCCCAGCAGCGGTCTCCGGGGCGCAAGGGGAAGCGCGAGCGCCGGAGTTGCTGCTCGGTACAAAGGTCACCTGGTACAGCGACGGGTCATCGGTGGACTTCAAGGAGAGGAAGGTGGACCAGAAAGTGTGCACATGCATGCTTGCAAATGTCTGAGGGAAGTAAGACAACTACGACATGAACAAGATTTGTCATCAAAGAAACATATTTGGCACTCATCCACTCGGTGATGTCGAAGCACCTACTGCCATATGTTTGATCGCACAGTTCCTGGGATGTTTTTGCTATATAGATTGTTGCATGTTTGCTCTTGTTCTTTGTTGGTTTACCTGCATGACTCATGAATTATACATAATAGTATAATATAGTTTGATTCCCTCGTCGAACTCAGCCTTCAGGCTTCGTCTGTCGGACCAAGAAGCAATACCAATCTCCATCAGGGACATTCATCGGGGCAGGACAGTCCTCAAATGCTGGCCAGGAAGGTTTTGCGTGTTTTGCAGTTTTGCTTAGGTTTGCGTTACGAAAGGGAACTGGGAAAAAAGTCAACTAATGAGAAAGACTTGGAAAATATACAATCATTCTACCAGGTGGGGGGCATGTTGAGTCGGAGGAGGGCAATCTTTTGTCTTGTTGCTGCCAAAGAATGTAAAATTAGTTCAAGTTCCCTCTCACTCATTCTCGCCCGAGCTTCAATTTCAGGCAAATAAATACAAAAAATACATAAACATATATTTGTCATTGGTGTTTTGACCCAATAATGTCGGTATATATATATAAATTTTGGTGTAACCTGTCCAATACTGGGGGTTGATTCACGTATTAAACAATAAGGGATAGACACGGCACCTTACTTCCGGTTGATAAATTCACCTTGCAAACCCGGACACATCGTCTAACCATCTGACCGGACCACACGGTGCTCAAGCGTCGCATCCGGAGCAGGCGGGCTGCACAGTTTGAAAGGTCTCACAGCTGCTGTCCTTGGCCATGACGATGAGTTCGTGTGACGCACAAGAAAGGCAAATGCAAGCCTTTGGGTATATACTTTGATTGGGAACCTCACACCGACCAAATTTTTGATTGTACATGTGTAGTATTTATGTTGTTTATCAAAAAAACATTTGTATATACATATTATATACTGGCAAGAGACCACAAACAGGGTGTTTACCTGTCTAAAGTCTAAGGCGTAAAAAACAGACGGTCCGGAGATCTAGACGTGTTGGGTTCCAGAGAAAGGTGATGGAGGTTATGATGGTGGTGATGAAGTGGAGATCGTGGTGATGGTGGTGTTGATGATGGTGGAGGCGATGAAGGTGGTGATTGAGGAGGTGATGGTAGTAGTAGTGATAGTGGTGATGAAGGTGGTGATGAAGGTGGTGACGAAGGTGGTGATGAAGGTGGTGATGATGGTGATGGAGGTTCAGAGTTCTAGGTCTAGAGGTGGAGAGAGATGCTACGCCTGCCACGTCCACAAAGTACTTCGCCTGCCACGAAATCTTCACTCCGAGGTCCGCACGAAATCTACACTTTCAGGCTCACAAAGTGCTGTGCCCGCCGCGAAATCTGCACTTCAGGGTCCACAAAGTGCTGCCCAGTTCCAGGTTCACACAAAGCGCTGCGCCTGCCACGAAATCAGTACTTCAAGGTCCGCAAAGTACTGCACCTGCCACGAAATCTACACAGCGAGATTCCCATCGCGCAGCCCTGCCAAGGCGATTCGCAGCAAAAGCACTTTCAAGACAAAATCAAGATGCCAAAATGCAGCGTTCGCTTGAGACTTCCTTTCACGTCTGAAAACGAGCCACATGTCCAAAAGTCACGATTCACTGCACCTGCCACAAAACTGCCATGTGCGCCTGCCCCGGAATCTGTACAGTAGATCAACATAAAACCACTCCGATCTCCTGCAATTGTCGCAAAAAGTCGACTTTAGACCACCAAAGCACGAGGTTTCCTTGTGCCTGCCACGAAAAGTGATCACCAAGTCTGAAAATGTGCACGGCACCACAGCGAGAGCACAGTCTTGAAGAGCACCCGCCCGCGCCCACCAGATTCCAAAAATAGCGAGGTGAACGAATGTACTGTAAATAGCAGAATTAGCCGAACGCTTCGATGAGCACCTCCGATCAGACACCCATCCACCGTCCTTAAGTCTTACCGTAAGAACCTTTAGTGTTACCCACCCTGTTTGGGGAATACCAACCATTTATTTAACTTCACAACGCGAAAGGGACCATGCTCCAGCCACACAAAGCCTTCGAGCCACTCACGCATGGGAGATTTCAAAAGGCGAGCCTTAGGAGACCCAGCCTCCGTTCGAACTCAGGCGTTCGACTTAATTTCTGATCTGTTCCGATGACACCCTAAACCCTAAACCCTAATGTCGATGAGACCCAACCAGTGGATCTTTGAGTTTTACCACACAGCTGCCTCTCTTGCGCAATTCTCCACCGCCATTGCCACAAAAGAGCCCAACAATCCAAGCATCTGGCTTTGCCTTAGCACTGGTCCTTCGCACTGGAGGGCCCTGTCGGAGATGTGGTGCGAAGAACCCCAGTAGGGATCCGCACATCCGTTGTAAGAACTACATGAAATTGTTGGACCAATGTATCGTACAAGTTAGGACACACAATTGCTAGAACCTCCGGGATGTCCGTTGTCCTATAGATCCAGAAAACAGAACATTATGGTGGGCCCTGGCACTTGGAGGATAACACCAAAAGCGCCCAATTTGTGTGTCCATGCGTGGATGGTCTGGGATTGGCGGAATTGACTTTTAAAGAAATCCAGCATGATCAAATCTGGGTATCTAATAGCTTTGAGATGGTGCGGGTGTTTTTCCATGAAGGATCTTTCATGTGAACTTGGACTTTCTCGCCTGAATCCATCGTATAGATACTATATACACTTGCTATCAATATTAGTATCTGTTGAGTTCTATCCAACAAAGAGGGAGATACACACAAAACACAGTGAACACACACGGCAATGCATACCCGGCGTTAGCGCTGGCCGAAGCCGCGCCTTCGGCAAGCGCCCCGAGCTCCTGGCCTTGGTGACCTTCCGCCGTGGCACCTCCGCTCGTGGCGGTTCCTTCGCCCTCGTCCTCGTGGTCCTCGTGGTCCTCGTGGTCCTCCCGTCGTCGCTGCGGAAGCTTGACTGAGAACTGGAGCTGGTGGCCACCTCAGGCGAGGCCACGGTCAACGGCAAAAGGCCACGGCATAGGCTATGGCCACGAACCAGGAGTGGGGGATAAAATAGATATGCTGGGCACATCCAAGGCGTGGGTCATGGATGCACCGTGGGGTGTTCTGGAGTAGTGGCTGGCTGTAATGGCTGGTCTTTTGGAGCCGTATAGGGTTGACGAGTCTGAAGCTGTGCCAAAGATTGTTCCTGCGCTGGATCACAAACCTGTCAGCATCATGAGATCTTTTCCCAGTGACTGCAAAGGACAATTATATAGTCGAACCCCAATGGTCTCTTTTCCACCAATTTCTGTCAATAAGAACAATTCGCAACATCGGCCCGAAAAGATCCGAAATTGAAATTTGAAATCATTTGAATTCTTTGGAGATTTGGGGGCAGACTTCACCGTTGCCTTGAGCCCTTTGTGTCTTCACTGTGGTACTTGAAAGTCCAAATCATGAGGCCGGAACAGAATGGAACCACTGTGCGAATGGGAACGGAACTGCTGTGGGTCAGTAGTGGCCTTGAGCGTGCTTACAGGACTTGTACAGAAATCTGAATCTCATCCTGCTGTTCTGCGGCAAAGAGCGGCACTGGCATTTGGTAGATCTACAATATGTAGATCTCAGGCTGTACACCCTCGACGAGTGGGACACAACATGGACACAACATTAGAAATACTGTACCAGCATGTACCAGGCGTGCTCCAAAACAGGGTGGTGTGCTCCAAAAGATAGGTTGTGAGAGGCTTTTCATGCAGCCATAACATGGATGAATCGACTTCATCCCACATGTGTTACCCATTATATAAATATAATCTGATCTGAATGTACAGGCTAAGGAGATAAATAGATTCGGACCTAACCCCAATCAAGGATCAACAAAGTCCGAATCCTCCAGCTTCATCTGAGCGTCTCTCTTCCTCTTCCTGACGGACTTTTCACTCACCGCCGCCGCTTGGACTTCATTTCCCTGGGACATCGCACGAAGCGGTGCTTCACTGTGTTTGATCCGACCGGGGAGTTGTTGGTCTCAGTACCGTCGTCTTGTCGCCGTGGGTGCCATGCACCAGAACCCTACTGAAAGTCGAAGATTGCACAAGATAAGAGCTGTTCATATCTAAGGAAAGGACAACTTCATGGAACTTGCTGCCTGGTCCATATGCACAAATAGCTCAAGCGCCATAATGAGGCATGATGAGGATGCCTCCTTTCAACACCGGCTGCCTCTGATGCCTTCACAAGCCTTCACATCCAAGGAACATCTTCAAGCGTTGTATCTGGCCCCTTCTCACTGCTGACCTCAGGGCTCTCCTCGCGTGCAGGCCGGAAGGAAAGCTGACAGGTAATCCGCCATATCCTACTAAGGCCACCTAATTACTCCCAAAAGGAAAGCCGGAAAGCCCTGCTACCCATGCCCGAGGTGTCGGAAAAGCGACTGGCACTTGATGGTATCTCTGTCCTAAGAAAAGCACTAACACTAACCTATTCTGGTCTGGGTGAAGCCCAAATCCGCCAAAGCCCTTTGGCCCTTGTTCAATCAATCGATTCAAAGACCGACAATCAGACCATCCCTCCACCCGGTGCAGGGGGTCAGATCCCATGGACCAACTCCCTCCTCAACCTGGTCAGATCCGACATCCTCTGCCTGACTGGCCTGACAGGAGGATGGGGGAAGGAAGAGGAGGGCTTTGCTGAATTCTGTGAGAATGTTGGTCATTCTGTTTAAAAGTTTATACCTCTCCTGGGGGCATGTGATGGGTTCAAACATGTTCAAACAAGTGCACACAAAGACTTAAACTCGCGAGCACAGGTTTTGGGTTGTCCAGGTTTTCTCAAGTGATGATATTGAGCTCACCAAGATTGCAAAAACATATTTGTATGTCTTTGTTTGTGGTATGTTGAGGCTTTTGACACGTTTGCTTCTCACAGTCGGGTCTGATGCATGAATGTCGAACTGATACAAACTGAATCTGCAGACCTAAATTCACTTCTGTGATGACCCCAGCCCAGTGACTGATGTTTGAACACTTGCATGTTGTTTGACTGGTGCAGGTCTGAAGTCCAGTTCGGTTTGAGGTCACAGAATTACGCTGGTGCAGCCCCTGCCTAATCATACACCATGGATCACGTGGTACTGCTTAACCCCCACGAAAAAATAGCATGTACCGCAAGATATGTCGTCGACATGAAGAAGCAGCAACATGAAGACCCACATTCACTGGCGGATTGGGCCGAATGAGACGACTTCGGCTGACTCGAAGGGCCTCACTCTCCGGCTGACGTGGATGGTCCTCACATTCCACGAAGCTGCGAGGATGGGCGGCCTGATAGCTGTTCCCAAGATGTCTGTGGATGTCAAAGAAATCTGGGAGAGGTCCCTTATGCAGCGGTCCTGTTTTGGATAAGAGGTCTGTGCACCCAGTTCGCCCAAGCACGTGACTTGACCCTTGCATTCAGCCACTCTGACGCGAAGGCTTGGGGCATGAAATTATTCGACTTAGTCTATCGCATCTATGGACATCACCAAACGTGTTTCACTGTTTTTGTCTTTAAAGATGTCTTTTAATTGGTTCTTTTGGTGGTCAATCTTGAGAGGAGCACCACATGTATCAATTCTGGCCTTTAGATGCCTTTAGATGTTTTCAGTCACTAAATCTCGATAGAGGATGGGTAGCAGTAGGGTGTCGCCGTTGGCACAATGGCTCGAGATTGCACAGTCAATCTGACAGTCGCTGCTAGAGACCCGGTTGATCGAAACGCTGGTTGCTTTTTGGAGGGCGTAGAATTGGTCCCAATACCCCCAAAAAAAAAAATTAAAGGATGTTAAAAGGGTTCGGTTATATATATATATATATCCACTGACTGGGTAGGGAAACATCTTTTTGGTGTAGAAACCTCTCGCTCCTCACTGGACCGAAAGTGGACTTCGTTGTAGAAGTGGGGTCCGCGATGGATGGGCTGGTTTCAAAAAAGTGTGTTGGCATCCGGATTAACCAATGACGACCAAGCAGGCAGAAAGTGTAAAAACCTAATTCAGCTCAGTGAAAGGAGCAACAACACATGTTTGCCTGAGCGGTTCGAACTGCGCCATCAATCACCAAAAAAAGGGACTGTCCCAGGTCCCAGCTTCTTCAAAGTGACCTAATTTTGAGGTCCGTAAGTTACCCTTGAGAGGCCTCAAGCTGACCTCGAACTGGAATTGCAAAGTGTCACTCTGAAGAGCCGTCCAGTCCCTGTGTCTAGAAAATGTGGGTCATGAGATTTGGTACATCATGTTCTGTCCCAGGTGCCTTTGGACCCATCTTTGCCCTTCTGAAATACTCAAAACGGCACCAACAAATTAATCTTGAACCCAGCCTGTGAACACCACTTGATGGTTTAATGACCTGAGAACATACATCATATCATCTCTTCATCTCCTTCATCTCACCGTCCCAGAACACAGTCCTCCACAACTCCGAGGGCCAAGTCACATCACTCAAAATCCTCGTCAAGGTGACGGCCGCGGCTCTCTCTGCCTCTGATGGTCCAGCCGCTTGTGGCGGCGCCTCGTGGGGTGCCTCCTCCGCGGGCGCCGCATCTGGATCTTCCTCTGCATCCAGCGCGGCATCGGCCGCATCGACAAAGCTTTGCTTCTCCTGCAGCTGCAGTGCACAATGTTGAGGTGCAGAGGCCAGGTTGAATGTGCTGAATCAGCTTTGTCAGAAGGATCTGGGCGGCCTTCTGCATCATGACAAGCCAATTTTAAAGGAAACGACACCCTCCCACATCAGTCGTTCCCAGGGAATTCCCAGGGGTCCAACATGCCCCCGACATCAAGACTGGTCGGCGAGCTTCTTCGCCGGACAAGCGGTCGAAGGCGGACTCATCCGAGCCCGAATCAGAGTCTTCCTCGGAGGCGAGGCGAGGCGAATCAGCTGTCGTGAGGTGTTCAACGACATGCGTGAAACACTATAGACACTAGACTACTAGACTTACATAAATGGCCCTGGTCGGGATTCGGAACTAAAAGGTATAATGCTGCACCAACGCCGTGGTGTAGCTTTGATATGGCGACAAAGTATTGATTTAGCATGGCAATCACAGCGCTAGTAATTACAATTATCTCACTATATATACAATAAGTTCAATTACTTCGTACTGAATGCGTTTATAAGTGCACACATTGGCAAGCGGATCAAGCAACTTCATCAAGAATACACTCCTTGAAACAATCATGGTTACGTGGATGGCATGGCACCTGGAAAACCATTCTCAATCCTCTCCAAACTGGGGGTGCCATCAACTTCCATGGGCAATTGGAGGGAGGACTGGGTACCATGCCTGCTAAAGCATGCTAAAACATTGTTTTCGGATCTTTTTCGGAACCACCCTCTGGGAAGACGAAGCACGTGAAATACCCTCCTGGATCTTCATACTCACCAAGCCAAGCCAAAATGAGGCAGACTCACACAAACGCCAAACAGTGTCCAAAAGCTCCAACACACAAACACCTCTTGCCTGGTAGTAAGTTGCGTCCAACCCCTCACATGAGGCATACACCAATCACCCAAACAACTCCAGAAACGTGAGAAACGTCGATCGGTCGTGGTGCCTGCCCCCGCGGTACTCAAGCCGCACGGGTCCGGTGTTCACCGGTGTTCGGTCCAGTGTTTGACAAAGACTCGTTCTAATTCTATGATAGCTTCTTGTTTCTAATAGCTTCTTGTTACTACTAGTAAGGCACTTGTTACTACTAGCGATGCACTTGTTCCTAGCAGCTTCTTGTTTCCATTAGCAAACATTGCTCCGTTCGTAGTAAGGCCAGGAGCCCCGATCGTAGCGTCCGATCGCTCCGTTCGTAGCGATGCCCTTTGTTCCTAGTAGCGTCCAAGACTCGTTCTCTTGTCGCCAAGACTTAAAGTTCTGAAAGGCCGTGAGTTCCATCGAGGAGACCTGGAGGGATGGAGTGAGCAGAGGCAGGCAGGCGGCCGGGTTAGAAGGATTGGGGCAATGGCATGTTTATTGGGCATTGATTGATATGTTTTTGTTGGTAGACGAAGTAATGCATGTATACAATTATTATACAATCATCAATTATACAAGCACTGCAAAGTGTCGACATGGATGATCGCATGTCCTCATTCATTCAGAAATGACTTACTCTGCCAACAAATTGATCGATATGTTCGGGTGCAAACATGTTTAAGAAACAGAAAAACGTGCAAAAAGGTCCAGTGGCCTCGCAGTAATTGCGCTGCTCTTCTGGAGGAAGATCTTGAAAGACTTTTGCAGGACCCTGGCCCAGCATTGGAGCATGTCCAAGAAGGTGGATCATTGAGTGAGTGCTGGTGACTCAAGAAGAAAGGTTAGGGTAGGGCGGTTACCGGTTGGTTCCTTGCGTCACGGTCTGGAGTCAAACAAGCATAAAGCCTGAACTTATTTGGGACTTCAATCCACTTCATGGAAAGCGGGTGGGTCTTCTGTGATGAACCGGTCATGGGGTTGCCATGCAACAAACTCCATGCGCGTTGAATCACCTCCCAGTCTGGTTCATCTCGGTGAGTTCCAAGACACCTCGATGTCGACATCGAGCACCGGACGCTGGGCACGGGGGGGGGGGTTCCCGCCGGTGGCCCTTCTCGGCCCCCGTGATGTGCGTCGGGAAGACCTCCGTCTTGAAACGCTGGAAGTAGGCAAAGTGGGCTTCCTCGGAGCTGCCGGAGCTGGGCTCCTGCCGTTGGTGAAGAAGCCGGTCGAGTTCGGTTTTCCCAAAAACACAGTCATGTGAGCACCAGGTATACCACCAGTGTAGGAAAGTAGTTTCGATAATACTTAAGTCTAGATATTGTGGAATCTTTGCTCCAATGCACACCTGTTGTAGTCTCTCCGCTTCCTTCCAAACACCGATGTTTGTGTAGCCTGCCCACTCCCTGCCTGGCCCTCCTTTTCTGGCTCACTACGGCCGGCAAAGTAAGCCTCCGTCACGGTGTGCCTGGGTGCGCCACTCTGAAAACGTTCGGAGTGGCGAACGCTGGAGTGCCGAAACGAACGCCTGTGCTCCTGAACATGGGAATGGCCAAGTAGAAACGGTTGGGGAAATTGGGAAATAGGAGCTTGGGAGGTCGTTCACGGCAAGAACTGCCAGCAAGTGACCCTCACAATATGATGTCTAGAATCTTGGGTCTGTTCCGAAAACCAACCAGGACACCCAGAACACACCCCTGATGGTTTGTAGTGTGGTCGCACAATCCTAGTACATCGAGCTGATCCTGAGGGCCACGCTCTCCAGACTGGACCTCAATGGATAAACACTCCATCTATATGCAATATGTGCCACAATGATGCCCAAAACGACCCCATAAAGGTATATATATGGGTCCCATGGGGGGGACGCCTCATTCTGTCGCCGAAACTTCGCACCCTCTGTCTGTCCACTGTTTTTCTTGACCGCTAAAGCCTTCTTTCTTTCTCACTCAAAGGCTCCTGGCTGCCTTGCGGCAATTTCGGCCAGAGCAACAACTAACCTTCCACACCTCGAGCGACCGCATAGCGACCGTGGTACTTGACGTCTTCCTCAAAGATGTCCCATGGAAGTCGGACGACCTGGGCGCTGCTGCTGCTGCCCCGCCGCAGAAGGAGAGCTGAAGTGCTGTGGCACTTTTGAGCGCTGGAAAGGGCAAAGTGGAGGGCACTGAACCAGGGAAGAACTACCGTTTACGGCTGAAGGGTGGGTTATGGTGGGTTTGTTTTCCAAAGACCTGATCCCTATGTAATGCCTCAGACAAATGAACACCCCTTCCCGCGTAATGATACTTTGACACCCTAATGAGCGAAATCATTGGCTCAAAGGATGTGAACACAACCACGTGTGAGAAAGGATTTCCTCGTGCTCCCTTACATTCCACCCACCAGTGCGAAGCTAGCCATAAGCTAGCCCACCTTGTCCAAGGGCTAAATGGCTAAATTCAAAACAATTGGCTGGTGACTCAAGTTCCACTACTTGCGGTTTTGAGATGAGTTTGGCAGTGCACCAAAAAAAAGCAGGTTTGGTCCGGTCTGCAGTTTCCAAATCAGGACTCAGTGGACTCCCCAGGAAGGTGGCCGTGCTCTGCATGAGATCAACGGCTCTTCACCACCCAAATCCCAAAATCAACGGAATTGGAATGAATTGGAGGATGTGCAACATGCTGATGGATTTGTGCTGCCTTGGGTCTATCACTCCTATTAATCTACTACCTCTACTTGCAGAATGTGTTTCTTCCAATTCTTCCATCAATCTCCCTTGCTGGTCAACGAGTTGCTCGAGGGATAGCCTTGGAATTCCACTTCTCCATGGAAGCCGACGCACTGCGCACGCATTCAGGTCGCATCAGGGACTGCGACAGAGCCAGCACAGCGACGAGTCGAGTGGCAAAAACCAGTGACTGCCGACTGCACGTCGTCGTAGCAATTGTTGCATGGTCAAATCAAGGATCCCTTCCCAAAAAGAAATCTTGACGTAACAAAAAGTGAAAGTAAGCAAACCAAAAGTGAAGCCCCCCCATCCCATGCGCAGCAATCACCCGCATCTTGAAGTTGAGAACCTGTTTCCTTCTGTTTCCTTTCTCAACCGCCTTCATGCAAGGTAGCTGAATATGAACTGCAGATCGGTATGTAATTATAAGCACTGTATATTGTATAAGTATGTATAAGTTGCTTCAGGTGTCCGAGTACAAAGGGTGCAGAAAGGGCTAGCATGCAAGATAAGGTCATGTCTGTTGCAATCCTTAACTTATAGAAAACCTGCTATCAAACCTTGCTTGACGTGTTGCGTCCCTCGCGAGTCCATGGCCCCAAAATCTTTGTACATCCTGAAGTACAATTCAGTTTTGGAAGGTGTGAGTGGACTTTTTGTGGACAGTTTTGTGAGCTTTCCAAAAGATCTATCACTCAATTCACTTCCTCAGAACCGACTCGAAGCGACGAAAACCGCTGCTCAAAACACCGCTCAATCCCCCCCCCACAAAAAAGAGAGAACAAGTTCCCCGCACTGACTGAACCCGCGAACAACGCACCCATCCACCAAGCCGCCAATGGTCCGCCGCCGGGAGCGGTTCGTGGCCGAGGCCAACAAGGAGACTCGAGGCTCCAGAAGCACCTGGAGCCGGACGCGTGCAGTTTGTCTGCTCGGGGGGTGAGTCTGTGCTCTGAGCCGATGCGTTTTGGGATCAAAGCAACAGCAAAAGAACAATTTACATTATGTCTAGTGCCCATGAAAAAGAAAGGACTGCCTAATAGAACTAAAAAGCCTGGTGCGCCCGACTAACCAAAACCAACAGGAGATGTTGATGCACACTATATAAAATACATTCCGCTTGCACTTCAAAGCTAGCAGCTGCAAAAAGAGACCATGCTGGATATACCGATCCAAGCTGTTCTCTTTTCCGCTACGGGAAGTGAACTTCCGCTGCAAGCATGGGCTTCTCGGCTGTCTGTGCAGCCCAAAACTCCCAAGATGTGATGGACAAAATCTCTGGAGAGAGGGACCGCTCTTGCGGATGGCGGAGGGTCGGTGCCCTTCCTCTGTTCGAACCAACCATGGGCGGGGTGACCTATTGGTAGCTGGCAGGCTCAAGTGCAATGCTCAAGCAAAAGAGGCT